ATTTCCTGAATGTTTTTGCTTAGGGAACCTATAGCTGAAGGAGAAAATAGATACAAAATGCACAAAGCAAGTGTTCAAAAGAATGTGCATTATTGTGTGCAAACCTTCTGTCCATGATCCTCTCAGGAAACAAGTCTCTGAGAGGACAAACATACTTTGGAAACTACCAAGTATGATCTTTTAAGGGCAACACTGGTTATTTTGTCGACCAGTTATCATTTAGGATGGACATTGCGACTGAGACTTCCGAAAAAGGCATACACCTTTCAAGGCACCTGCAAACATTGGGCTTATTTGTACATTCAGAAGCTAAACAGCAACAGCAACAGAAACAAACAAAACAGGTATTCATCCTAATTTTAGAGGAGGAATTCCTTCTTTGAAAATAAATTGTGTTATAGAAGGTGTGCGAACCATACATATAAATCAATAATTCAAGGCAAATAAAGGATTGAAACAGAAATACTTGAGAATTCCTAGGTGAGATATGACAGTTATGTTGACATCTGTTAACCATGAATTTTAAGAGGGACATACAAAAATCAGTTTGATTGAGCCAACACAAAGTCATAGTTCCTTCAAGTCCTAGTCCAAACGATGTTCAATTTCAGAAAGGGTTTACTCATTGCTACAGGTATACATGAATTTTCCAAAGTATCCTGTCATTATTATTTCATTGCTTAACAAACATTTGAGAACAGTTTATGTTTCAGGCTCTAATTATGAGGGGCCTCCAAAAAGTTTGTGGAAAATGTTTATTATGGCGTGGGCATTCAGTCCAGTAATTAAGACATTTGCATCCCACACTGGATATATTGATTCAATACCTACTTCTTACTCGAGCTCCTGACTGCAGCTTTCTGCTCATGCAGAGCTTGGGAAGAGCAAGATGACCTCAGCAATTTGGCCCCTGCCATCCATATGGAAGATCTGGATTGCGTTTCTCATTTGTCACATTTTGGTCCAACCCCACCCCAGTAATTGCAGGCAACTAGGGTATGAGCCAGTGGATGATAGTTCACTCTCTTTACTTCCCAAATATTGTTAAAAATAGAACATGTGTTTTAAATTTGAGGCCATCCTAGGAAAGTTTTAATTTCCCATCAAAATGGTATAAACTGCTAATGAGGAGTGATTGAAAGTGCTAGCGATTCCCTGATACATGAATGAGGAGAGGAGAGATTGGGATGATAGATAAGGTTGGAGAGAATTAAAGACTGAAGAATTAAAACAGCCTCTGTTTCTAGTTCCTATCATGCTTTTCAATTTTTGGTTTTAAAGCTTTAAGTAAATGATTATGCTGGTACCTGAGCCATAATCTGAAGAACGAATCCTAAATAAGTGCACCGCACTTATTTAAGTGGTAACACCATTTGAAAATAAATAGCAAAATCAATGTCATAAATCAGGCTATGGAAACATTGTGATTGTGATATAAAATTATAAGCAGAAGGAAACAGAAAACATTTGCTACTCCTTTCATGGTCTCTGCTACCTCAAATCTCTAGCCAAAGTGTTCTAGAAGGTAAGAAGCATAAACATCCCCTTCATTACCACCTTTTCAAAATTGCTCTTTTCCAGCCTGTCTACTAGATCCGTCCGTCTAGGTCCCTTTATCTAGTAGCATGCTGTCATGAACCTTTAGGTTCAATCTGTTTCACACATTCAAAAAGTCAAGTCACCATGAGGAGTCATTGTCTGCTTCTTGAGTGGAAACCTGCACATGGACATTGCTGATCTTCCGGGGTGCCTGGGACACATGAGCTATGAAATTCCTCTCACTGGAGGAAGAAAAAAAAATTCACAAATCAAGAAGCTCTGCAACAATGCCTGTTCTTGCCAACATGTCTTCCCATTCTCTAGGCCTCCTGTCCATTACCCAGGCCAGACATGTAGTTCTCTCTGCCATCTTTCGGGATCAGATCTTTTACCGAGGCTATTTCATGAACAGAGTTGTTTAATGAAATATAATCTCTGACCAAAAGTCTCTCTCTAGTACAAACTTAAAATGCAGTAATTTGGGAATTTGCCTGAATTAGAAAACAAACATGATCCTTGACAAGGTAAGTGAAAGGGGTCCTCATTATCATGCTCTCCATTAGAAAAATCATCTGATCAAACTGTTCTGCTCAAAGAGAATGGGAGTTTGATTTGAGGGGAAGAAAGAAGGGGAATTGGCAAAGGGGTAGAAAATCTGTGAGATCATTTTGGAGCACAACATATTGGGGAAGGCCAAATAAATCTAAACATCATCAGGGCACTGGGCTTCTGAAAGGCAGGGCATGAAGGCTAGTAAATCAACAGGGGGGATGAAAAAAAAAGTCCAAAGCCCCAAAGTTTGACGAATGAGCTCCAAAAGTTAACTTTGCCTATAGTTGCTGCCAAAGTTCTCATTTCCTCTGAAAAGTTTCATCTAGCTCTTTCTGTGGGTGCATTCATAATGAAGCGGAATGTACTGGAACGTGGATCTGGAAGTGTGACCAAATGAGGCCAGGAGTGCTGCTTTGGGAGCTAATGCCAAGAAAGAGAGGGTTCTAAAAAAAATAGAGCCAAAAGAGCTGGAACAGAATGGGATCCAGTTCATTAAAATTACAGGTGCTTGGGGACTTTCATATTTCCCATACTAAGTTCTCTTAAAACTGTTTATACTGGAAATTCTGAGTATGTCTGGCTCAAAGAACTGTGACTGGCAGTCATTGTCAGGACTCACTGAGCTCCAAGGAAACTGTTACATTCAAGCTCAGAAAATGAGAACCACAATAACGCAGAAATTTGCAAGTTTAAAAATAATGAAAGTGAATTTCCTCATAAACATTTCTCAAATTGATGATTAACCTAGTTACTTCCAAAAGGCCTTCACATCAAGGGTCATGCATGTGCTTACAGTGAAAAAAACACTCAGGAGTAATGTCACTGCCTTTGTATCACCTCCACCTGCCAAGAGTGCAGCTCCTCCCCCTCTCAGGAGATGGCCAGTTCTGGTAAGACTCCTACAAGACCTACCATCCTCCTTCTCCTCCAGCGACAGTGACATGACCCTTCCAAGGCACGCAACTCTTGTCGGCTGATTTAAGTCTCCTCACCTCAACTTAACAGCCTCTTAACACACCATGGAGGTAACTACCTTAGTGTGTATCTATATTCCTTAGTTTTGTTTTTGGACATTGAAATAGATTTCTAATCTACTCTTAACAGTGAGTGACCAATTCCATCTTTGCCTGCCTTAGCTCCATTCCACTCCCCTCAAATGGCAGAGGTTCTCTAGAAGTTGGCCTTACCTCTTAGACATGAGACCGTGCAAAACAGGATACAGATTTTTCTAATCTCACACTCTTCCTAAGATTCTTAGAGATGTTATTTCAGCTTTCTTAGTATTTATTCAGAGGAAACACGGAACGTTCATTTTAGTTGGTCCCCATACACTCATTCTAGTTGATCTATATCATACACAATCTCTCTACACTGTTCAAACAATGATCAAAGTTAATCAAGTTTCCACAGTCATCACTCTTTCCCCTATTTGTAAAGCTACCTTATACAACAATGTCATTTTTCTCATCCCAGTGTCTGAAAATTATAGTAGCACTTTCACACTAGCTAAAATCCTTGCTTCACGTTCTACATCAATTAATTAGTATAATATGACTTAATATCTCCATTCTGTAGTACATTTCTCTTCTGTTTTATATGCTACATTCCTCTTCTTATGGGCAGTTAAGTCTTAACATGATTCTTCCACAATTATAAACCTTGATCTATAGCATCATCCTTCTCATCAGATGTTACCATGTAGCTGAGATCTAACCTTGTTTTCCTGAATCCAAGAGCACTATGAAGAAATAATAACACCAGCATTACATTTGCACAAGTGCCTGGCCTCCACCAAATGCTTCAGAGCCATTTTCTTATTTGAGGTTCTCAACAACCCATTTTCAATTGAAGAAAGTACAATTCAGAAAATATTCAGTGACTTAATCAGAGTCAAGTAGCTACTTCAAGGTTAGTCAGGAATCAAACTGGTAACCTCTATAGCTAACCCTGCCTCCTGCACCATGCATATTTTTGAGAATTATCCTAGTTGCCTCTTTGCAGCTAACCCTGACCCTAACCCAAAGTTTCATTATGTCTGCTACAATCGTTCCAGGGATTCTAAAGGCCCTGTGGTATACTGCTTCAGTCTCCTGCCCATTCCACATCACTTTAATGCTCTACTTCCCACTCTTAGCACTAAGACTTGACATACAAATTTACCCTTCCTCTACCCTTACCAACTTCTCAAAATCCTGGCCTCTGCCAATGCTAATCAACTTTTTTTTTTTTTTTGCTCTGAATCTGGTCTTTCCCCTTCTTTACCAGCATTTAATCTGTCAGGACACAAGAAGCAGGACACAAGAAGCAGTTAGCTTTCCTCCCATACCAAGGATCCACTTCTTTATACTATGGGCCAGAAGCCACAAACTCCTGTCCATAATTCTGAATCAGTTACATTTATGTATAGTTTCAGCTCTCTGCTTTAGTCCTTCCCTTCTCCTCTTCTTTCTAAACTATTTTAGAGTGCAAACTCCTGGCTCTATTTCATTAGCTATGCTAGTACCAAGCACAATGTTTTGTATTCAAAGGCATATAAACATTAATGATTATGATCTTTTGTTTTAAAAACAAAATTTTCCTGTCCTTGATCTGAAATAATGTTAGAAACCAGCTGCCAGAACCATTAAGAGCATTATTTTCAATTTGGAGCTTTTGAATAGGAATTAACTTGAAAGAGCTGTAGAGTGGAAGACAGGGGCACATTTGTTTAAACATGGTGCCAATTGTATAAATGAAACACTGAGTTTATTATTAGCTTCCTATCACCAACAATAGTCCAATTCAATTGCACAAGGTCAACCCAGAAAGAAGATTCTAGATCTTAGATACCCATTCTAGGAAGGAGCACATTAGGTTTTCTCATTTCATATGTGTTCTGGAAAAGCAAGAGCTGCCTGCAGATTACTTACTGGCTTATCCTTGATGGTGGGGCTTGACACGCACAGGTACAGTTTCCCATCTTCTTCTAGGCATGCGTCGATCAAAGCTTGTACTGAGCTCTCCTCCTGGAACAGCAGAAAGGCATAGCCTGGGGGAGAACAGAAGACAAAAGGATGGGAAAGGACTCATTAAAATCAAAGCACACCAATTTAAATGTTACATTATTTCATTTAGAAAATCTTTCTAAAATGTGAGATGTTTAAGATGCAAAAGTGACCTGAGCCCCTCCAATGCCAGACACTGTGTTAAACACTCCCAGAGAGAGCTTTGTTTAATGCACTACTAACTGCTCAGAGGACCACGCGCAGAGCTCCTCTGGAGAATTCCCACAGAGCAGGTTTGGTAATCCTTAACGAGGAGAGGCAGCCTCGCTATCACAGCCTGAGCCACAATTAGTAGCCAGGAATCTACTACCACTTAATCACTTGCTTTCCAATTTCCATTATCTCTGGCTTAGCCAATGTGACCTCTTAGCATAGATGAACTCTGAAAGTATTATGCTAAATGAAACACACCAGACATAAAATTATGATGATAACTGGCAAATCTGCCAAAAAAATGTAGATGTATGAAAGGCTGGCCCATGGTAATATAGTGGATTAAGTTGCTACCTATGATACTGGCTTCCCATATGGGCACCAGTTCAAGTCCCAGCTGCATCACTTTGATCCAGCTATCTGTTAATGTCCTAGGAAGAACAATAGAGGATGGTTCAAGTACTTGGACACCTGTTACTTATGTGGGAAATTTATATGAGGCTCCTGGATGCAGCTTTTCTGCTTAGAATAGCCCTGGCCATTGTGGCCACTTGCGGACTGAAACACTGAATGGAAGAGTGATCTCTCTCTCTCTCTTTTTTCTCTCTGCGACTCTGCCACTCAAATCAATCATTCAATGAAGTTTTTTCTTAAAACAAAACAAAACAGATTGGTGGTTACTAAGGACTAAGGGAGTAGACCAAAAAAGCACAGGATTTTTTTTTTTGACATAAAATTTTTTGAAAATTGGAGTGAATGCTGCAAAACCCTGTAGATATACTAAACACCATTTTATTGTACAGTTCAGATTGGTGAACTACATGACATGTGAATCTTATCTTAACAAAGCTGTTTAGAAAGTTCACAGACAGACTGACATATTTTTACATTTACCACGGTTACTGTTGCTCTGTTTCTCAAGGGATATTCTTAGCACAGACTTTAGAATCTTGGATACTAACCACAGGATTTCCACATGTACAGCCCATTTTGCTTGGCACCACTCAGGGAGATTTATTAGTCATTGTTACAAGGAGGACACAACCTATGAATTATGAGAGAGCTGAGGTGAGTGAGACTAAGCTACTGCTGCTAAGAGACTTAGGCAGCCGAACAAGCATTCAGATAACTGAACCACTCATCGCAGAGTTGGGGAGTTAATAGGGGGACAAAAGATGCCAGACAAGGACTCTGGCTTAGGAGCATTGACAGAAACTTGAAAGACAACAGATGCTCAGGGGACCAACTCTGGCAATTGCTCTCATACTGGCATTCATGAATGGCAACCTTTACAACGTCTAATCTCTCAGCCGTTACCTCCACCCCCAGTCTTGTTGCTGACCTCAACAGAAATCACCACCAGTATACTATTTTCTGCTGCCCTGAGTGCCAGAGGTGCAAGTGGTGAGGTACAAAAACCTCTGCACACAGAAGATCCCAACTGAGCAAACAATGATGGACAGTTCATAATCCACTGGCTAAGAAACAAAGCCTTTGGGGCCCTGGGCAGTTGGGAGAGAGTGGTTAGACTTTTTTTCTTTCGCCTCTTATTCAAATCCTTCACCTATCATGCTGGATGGGGTAGGAGGAGAACCAAAAACAACAACAAAATGCCACCCCTGAGTATGTCAGAGTGTGGCCAATGCAAAAGGCAAAGCCAACAGCCAGGAAAAGGCATCAAGGAGGATAGGTGGGTGAGCCGCTACAAGACAGACACTGCCTATGTGTTTTCCAAATTTTCCTTACAAGCTAAACTCAAGTTCAGCTGATGACCAAGTAGAAAAAATGAAACTTAACTGCAAACCTAGAAGGGGTAAGACATACTTCTTTTTTTCATATCCTCTCCCTTCTGTAAATCATACTATAACCAAGTCTCAGGGAATCTATTAAAAATTCAGTGCTGGGCCCGGCGCAGTGGCGCAAGTGGTTAAGGTCCTCGCCTTGCACGCCCAGGATCCCATGTGGGCGCCGGTTCTATCCCGGCAGCCCTGCTTCCCTTCCAGCTCCCTGCCTGTGGCCCGGGAAAGCAGTTGAGGACGGCCCAAAGCTTTGGGACCCTGCACCTGCGTGGGAGACCTGGAAGAGGCTCCTGGCTTCGGGTCGGCATAGCATCGGCCCGTTGCGCTCACTTGGGAACTGAATCATCAGACGGAAGATCTTCCTCTCTGTCTCTCCTCTCTGTATATCCGCCTTTCCAATAAAAAAATAATAAAAATAAATCTTTAAAAAAAAATTCAGTGCTTTCATTTCGTACGAGAACATTAATTTTACTTGCCAAAGAGATATTGAGGATGAGAGGACTGGAAGAAAACAAATATAAAGAGTAAGTTTAGCACATTTTTTAAAGCTCCTCTTCTACCAAGTTAGCGCTGGTACAGCTCTTCTACAAAGGTCATGAAAGCACACTGGGTCCTGTCTATGTAGATGCCATGTGTAGGCACATCGAAAAGGTCTGCTGATGGGCACACTCAGGGAGCTGGGCTTTTTCTAGCTCCCTGCATCTGGAGATCTCCACACTATACCATTCTACCTCATCACTACCTGCCCTCTACAATCTTCCATCTCAAATCCATTTTATTTTTATCTGAAAGGCAGGGTTATACAGAAAGGGGAAGATACATGCACCGCATATAGAGATCTTCCATCCACTGGTTCACTTCCCAAATGGCCAAAATAGCCAGGGCTGGGGCAGGCTGAAGCCAGGAGCCAGGAACTTCATATGGATCTCCTATCTAGGTACAGGGGTTTAAGGACTCAGGCCATATTCCACTATGTTCCCAGGCACATTAGAAGGGGAATGGATCAGAGGTGAAGGACTCCAATTAGCACCCGTATGGGATGCTGGCATTGCAGGTGGTGGCTTTACTCATTACACCACAATGCCAGATGCTCAAATCCCATTGAGTTGACCCTGGGTAACATAGGAAAGGAGTTATCTCCCCATAGCAGCTGAGTAGCTACCACAAAAGCATGCAGACATTTACTTGGAGACAACTGTCCATACAGACAGTAGCAAGAAGAAAAATAATGGGTAATTACAAATATCAATACTGAAACATTTACAAACAATTCCTTCATTTCTCCCAGGTAATGGCCCATATTCCTTGTCCAATTCCTTCAAGTTTTTGTTTTTGTATTTTTTTTTTCTCTACAAGTATTCCTGTGTCAAAACAATCACCTTTACTCTCAGCGGCTAGCTGTCACTCTCTGTAATGATAAAGTGTTCTCTTAGTCACACAAGTAAGGCTGAATCTCCATTCTGGGCTATGGTCCAGCAATTTTCTTCAATCAAAACACATTTTCCAGAAACACCCAAAATTATCCATGAAAACAACTTTCTGATACCTCACCTACTAAAAATACCATCTGATGTCACTTCAAGGTCAAGCAGACCCAGATAATAATAAAAATCAGAGTTGGAAAAAAAAAAGGAAGAGTTCTTCAGGAACATTTTTCTTTTGATCTTTAGAAATTCAAGGTCAAAGTAAACAAAGCAGAAAAAGACTGCTTCCTGAATAACAAGGTCAATGTGAGGTAGAAAATTCAATCAATGATTTACTAAACGGCAAATTCCACACAGTACTAGGTACTATGAAAACACTTCTGGCTTAGGAGTTAGAAGGTCTGCTTTTAGGTACAAGTCCTAACACTTACTAGCTGTGGGCTAGTAACAGTTAATAGCTTTTATTTACAGAGCATTGCCTAGACACTCATCTAAGTGCAGTGTGCTTTTTAAACACATTTCACCTTCATATATACCCTGGGAAGCAGGCACTACTTCAAAATTCTGTGTCATAATTTAGCAAACACCTCACAGGTACATAACTTACGGTACACCCATGAACTGGAATATTAACGTAGACTCTCTGAGTCTTAACTCTTCACTCTGTTAAATAAAGAAACTAAATGTTTGTCCTGTTTATCTTATAGAGATGTAGGTTGCATGAATGTAAGTGAAAGTGCTTTGCAAATACAAGTGTTGGATTTTCTTTCAGAGCACTTTTAAATTATGTGACACATAAAGTTGAATTTGCTGCTTATGTCTCATTATAAAAATTGGGATTTAAGTTAATGATATGGACTTTCTATTTTGCACTTTCCAAGTAGTTAGTGAATGGAAAGAAATAACTCAGACATTGAAGAAAAACACCAATTAAAGGTACTTGAGTGACAGGAAGAATATTATCAGAAACAAACAATAAAGTCACTGAATATCTACTCTGATACTTAATGAAGCTATTCCAATTAAGAGAACTGTCACAAGTAGCATTATTTGCCAATTTTAGTACATTCTTTAAATAAAAGCTGATTATGCCTGTAAATACAGCCTCTCTAATTATCAAATTGATGACAGGTTCTTCAGTTTAAAAAGCACAAAAAAATCAGCTAAAAAAAAAAAATCAACTCCCTGTGTATTTCCTTAGACTCTGAGCCCAAGCAGATAAAGGACTGTAAAGTTCCACTCTTCTGAAATGTTGACCTGAGGACTGGCTGGACCTTCAGAGATATGAACTACGAGACGCTCCCAGCTCAGAGCAAGGATGTGGGACATCGCAACACTGAGTTGTGGACGAGAACAGATAGCAGGAAGTTCTTTGCATTTGCGTTGGTGCCATGAAGGGAATGAAGGGCAGGACAGTGAGAGGGTTTTTAGGCAACACTGGGTTGCACACTATAATTTTCTGGGGGAGAAAATAAAAAAAACCAGGAAGATTTGGGGGAGGGACTTAACTAGAATGATTCTATTTTTACCTGGCAAGGTTTCTGAAAGTTAACTTTAATTAAAAGGATTTTTCTTTTAATACCTGAGAGCACATTCATATAACAACTT